AAACCTTGGGAAGAACATGAAAGTCCGTACTACTACTTCATTTTCTTCCAACTGTAAACTGTTTACATTTCTGTAACAAAATCCTGGGGTGTTTTTAAGAGTTCCCAACTTCAGCAYAATTAAATGAAAGGTATCTTGTTCATTTCAACTAGTAATTCCCAACAAACAAAAAAGTATGTTAAAACCTAGGGGGAGACAGTATTTAAAATTTAGGTAAATTTTATTCCAGCAGTTTTTAAAGGGTGGGGCTGGTGGGGATTTTTGGAGCGTTGTTTAGAGAAGGATTGCTTCTGGAAGAAACAAAAGTTTCAAACCAGGRTTTTCTTCAGCAAAATGAACATTTTTAAAATGGGAATTTCATGCAGTTTCCCAAAATGGCTCTTCTTAGCCATTAATGTAATTTATATTTAGCACAAGACCACAAACAGACAGATTGCTAGACTAGACTGTTTCAGGGAAAGCAAACCACTCTGTCTCTTTACTCCCAGTGTTGCTAAAATAAAGAGCACAGCAGTAACATAGGAAATGAACACAAAGTAGAAAAATACGACATTTCAAAAATACTGGTTGAAGAAATTAAATTGGAAGACTGAGAACAGATCCAACCCATYCCCAAGTGAAGCCATCAGGACATCCCTAGCCAAGCTCCAGAGGAACACAGCCGGACAAACTGTGCATTYAAACAGACCACTGCAAGTCTGAAATTAGAATTTGTCTATACAAACAAACCTTCACAAAATACCCCTGCCTGCACACACCAGCACCAGAGAGACTCTTCTCTTTACCCACCCGTTGAAATTCCACCCCTTTGTGGCACCAGCAAAGAGCTGGCAGGAGGCACCTGRTTGCAGCTTTTGCACACTGGACACAGGCAATACTTCCAATAAATTCTAATTTCACCAACTAGGGGCTGTTTAAGCCTCCCCAAGTAATTCTGGACCATGTAACACTTTTTTGCATCATGCTACTATGCCAGAAGACTGAATAACAAGCACACGTTTTTACTGGAAATAGACGTCTAGACAGCAACCTCACAGTAATTTCTGCAGAACACTTCTTATCCTGAGACTGAACTCTGGTCATTCATAGTGAAACCACACGAGAAACACTGGTACTGACTCTCTCAACCATGACACAAGGAGATAAATCCAGTGAAAATTCAACATCTRCCCCATCAACATGCCTTTAGCCTCCTCACTCTTCTAGTCTGGCAAAGGGGAACATACAAATACTTCAAAGTTCATATACCTATTTTTTTTTTTTTTTAAACAATAATCTTTAACTGAGGATAAGGTTCTTCTTCATGTGTATTATTAAACATTCACTGTCTCAGCATTCCAACATTTCTGTAAAAGCTATTAGAACACATTATTAATTTTGAAGCACTAAGAAGACTCACTGACTTCAAAAGCATCTTTGAAACAAAAGAATCCCGGACAATGAGGCTGGATTTGTGATGTCTGATGTAACCAAGTTACCCAAGTTGATACAAAACCTCAAAAGTATCTTGTATTCAAAACAAACTATGTTAAAAATGTTAACAGAATGCAGTTCAACTCAGAGGTGCTTAAAAACTTCAACGAAAATTCCTAAATCCACTCACACCCTATTTACATCAGAGGAGTGCTGTAATTGCACAAAAACATGATCACCTTTGAAAACTCAAGCATAAACTACCTCAGATGCCCTCAGATGCAAAGAATATATTCAATAAAGATCTGGTGTGCTAAAGTAGAATGGAAAGAATTCCAAATGATGAAAAGACAGCAAACAAGCCTGACAATACCCTGAAGGGACTTTTTGCCTTTTTTTTTTTTTTCTGGGGATTTTTTAATTAGTTGGGTTTTTTTCAGGATATTTTAAAACAAAAATTAGTAAAGTGATCATTTCTAAATTGTTACTGCACTTGCAATTTTTTCCCCTTGCAAAGTGTCACCACTCTAATACCCAACTGCCACATACAAGCCAGCTAAGCTTACCACTGACCACTYCTATGTGAGGAGTTTTAAGTCTACAGACTTGACTTTAAATCTACAGAATGACTTAGAATAGGAAATCTTTTTTACCCGGAAAGCTGTATAAATAAAGAATTGAATCTGATCATTTTCATATGCTGCCAGGCTTTGGATGGATAAATATTTCCAAAGAGCTGGCGCCTCTGTTTTGGATAGGAGTGGGTGGAATATTGCAGGATTCCCCTTCCCTCCCCCACTGAAGCAGAATCTGGTCTCCATTAAAGGCATTTCRGCTGTAATTCTACTGTCAGAAATATCCTGGTTTTCTACAGTTTTGCAATTCTTAAAACCATCATTAACACTGATGAGGTCCYGTTCCACATCTGCCAATTCTAAGTTTTACTGTCTGTGCCAAGCATGGCAGAAAAGAAAAATCTAAAGGTTTAATAATGATGAAAGCTGTACAGAAATCATATTAAAAAGATCATGACGAAAGTATCTTCATTTGTGTGTAACATAACAAAATACATAAAAATTCACTCAGCACACTTAGAACTAGCCCTTTCTATTAAAAAATCCTTCAAGTGCCATCTCTGTAGCAAATGCAAAAATGCTGTTGGCCCTATTGAAATTACAGGAGCAAAACACAAGGCAGTGTGGATTAAGGTTTCTGCAGCTGTCAGCAATGCAATCATCAGAAAGGTGCCACTGACAAACTGGATTTCCAAGCTGACTGAGCATGTCAGCATTGGAAAATTCAATACAGCCCACAAATACAACAAACACAGGAATGCACTTTTATGCATCACTTTCCATTGAGAATTCAGTACAATGATCACGAACACCAAGTGCTTACTGATTAAAGTTCATTTGATTCTGCCCAAATGCTGCATTAGACTGAAAGTAATGGTAACAATGAAAGACTTGGAAACCTGATTCCTCCTTAGGAATGAATTGTAAGTCTGTTTCTGYTCTCTCCCATCTCATCCCAAAAGACCCTAATTTTTACGCAGTCCTAAGATCAAGAGTACAAAAGCTTGTCTGTAAACATTCCAGATATACATTCAGGACATCTTACCCCAAACACTCAAATGAAAACTGACATGTAAAAACCAATTGTAGACCTATGAGTACTGATGGCAAAAATCTCTTGGTTAGACATTTTAAACATGCACAGTAAAATAARCAGCAAAGGATGCATAACAATGTATTGCATTTATTAAAGATGTATTTGACATCACAAATTTGAAACAACCTTTTGAWAATACTTTTGATTCTGATTAAAATATTTCAAGTCAGTGATTTTTCCKTTTCTTCCTTTCTGTAGGTGATCTAGACCAGTGCTTTAGAGATGGGACAACAATTGTTGTTTCAGGAGAAAATGGGCACTAGCAGCTAATAAGGACACACTTAATAACAACTGCCTTATTTTCAGAAGTTATTGAATCCAGCTCCTGCAGAGAGCCAAGAACATTGCTTTTTGTGTCTCAATGCCACAAATTTTGATGTCTGTCCTGAAGCCCCAGATGCTCAATATTACCACAATCTCACTGTTAATTGAAAGTCTTTTTGCACAGCTTAGCTTAAAGTAAGTATTTCCTACACTTGTAGGAAAGATTACATMACTCAGAACTCCAAAAGTCATTTCAGGAAGCCTCTTTTATAACCCTCAGCATGCACACGGCTTCTCCGTAGTAAGAAGAGTAGGGATGAAGGGCACAATGTAAGCAGAATAAATCAAGAAAAGTTTGAAGTACATTGAGGTCAAARACATAAGGCTGGACCTAAAGTTCCTACTGTGTTGTTAAAACTAAAGCAGGCTGGCATAGGTCTTCATGAACAGCTTAAAGCAAATTCTACCTCCTTTTTGAACTGAACTTACAAGCAGGTTCTAGCTATGCTGCAACAGAATTATTCAGGTATTCCAGTTGTTGCTCCAAGGGGTATTGAGGCCTCCAAGGCAAGGATTTTACCTTTGTTACAGCTGATATCTGACCTGGCTGCAGCAGTGTTTGCAAGGAGACATACTCCAGCCACTTCAAAGTAAGAGATATTATCCTCTGTGCCTATCTGTTCCTTCTCATTCTCATGCTCAGCGTCTTCCAATTGAAGTTGGAAGGGAAGAAAGCCTGTCTAATCATCCCAATTACAAGAAAGGATGCCAAGAGTAAAGTAGCTTAGCAATAACAACAATCAAATTTTCTAAAAGCCAGAGAACCAGCAGATWGATCATATTTGATTATACTAAACTCAGGCTGTACTAATGAAGCAGGAAGTAAGAAACAGCAATAGTAAGGGAAAGAAATTCAAAGGGTTTGTGTTCTCCCTATTCACTCCTGACCTGCAGCCTGCCTTAACTTGCCAACAGCCCTTATGTATTATTACTCGTCCTCTTACAGCTTTTGCATTTCTGACATCTCAGAGCAGCTGGTTTCCATTCCCTCTTCTGGCTCTTCTTTTCTCAATCCCAGTAATTTCTGCTTTCATCAAGAAAGAACAAGATTCAAGACTGTGGGGCCCTGAAGAAGCTAAGAACAAGACGGCGAAACTAAACCAGTGAAAAAAAGGAGTGAGACTTTCCACCAGTAYGAAAAGGTGAGAAGACAATAAAACTAGCCTGTACAAGAAAGCAGACTGTGGCATCTGATTAAATTCRCTAGTAATTTTTCCCACAACATGGGATAACAAGCCCCAAAATTGTGCCCCTGCAGCTCCCAAAGCCTTTCCTGTGTTCATGAGAAATGCACAAGGCAAAAGATTCCTCTCTCTGCTATTAAAGTATCATTTCAGAGAAAAATGGCAACTCTGTGAATAAATATGTCCTTACAGCTCAAGTACCCACAGAAAAGGTCATCTACAGAAAGGAAAAAATTACAGGATCAGAGAATTCTTATCAAAACTTTYGATACTTGAAATCCATTTTACAAGAATAAAAAACAATGCGTTTTGCAATATTTATGTAACAGCATTAAACAAACAAAAAACACACACTGTACAAACAGACAAATAAACAGAAACAATCTAAAGTTTTGGGAAAGTACTAACCAGTTACTGACAGCAGCTGTGAAACCCTCACCTCCATTTCCTCCCGATGAGACCTGTCTCTATCCTCGAATTCACGAGTTCTTCGTCGAGCCTCTTCAAAGGCTTGTTGTGCCAATGCATCCTCCTGCTACCAAAGCAGATRACACAGAGTGACACAAAAGGTGACCCTCATTTCCACCAAATCACATTTCTTTTGAATATTAAGTATCCCTTGGTAGCAAAGTCAAGTATGTACTGCAGAACCTGCTAGAACACAGATGAGTTTCCAGCAAATGTCAATACAGGTTAATGAAATATTACTCACCTTCACTACAGCAGTAGAGATAACAAAAGCTGGAATGCAGCTATTATTTGAAATACATTTTTAAAGGAAAGCTGCTGTTCCAAAGTAGTTAAAGTGCTGCTGGGGTTTTTTAAGGCTAGGAATTCTCAGAAGTTCTATGTAAAAGGCAGGAAATTTTATTCTCCTTATGAAAGGCATTTTCAAGACAGYATTCACAGGTACAGCCAGACAGAGTCCACTAGCATCACTATACAAATAATGGCAATTTAATACTCTTGCATTTAAAAGAAAGTATTATCACATCCTTCATTTTATCAAAAGCTGCTGCAGGTACCTCAGTATAAATATTCTTAATACTTGTGTATCACTCATATTATTTAAATTTAGATGCATRGGAAAGTGCAAAACAGAAATTATTCCTCCACCAATTTGCACACATTCCCACACAATGGAGGAGAAACCTGCAGGTTTTCAACAGCCCTGTTGCTTACTTTCAGCAATGGCTTATGCACAGGAATAGATTTAAACTAACACTCAAAAAAATTTTTTCTAATAGAACATATGGTTTGAAGGAYATTTTAAGTAAAGTGTTAGCAATATGTAAAGCCATTATTAAYTGGGTTAGAAGTTATTTTTCTTTTAATGCATTTTCTGTTCCCCATCAGAATTTTAAAATTTTCAGAATAGAAGAGTCTCATCTGAAGAGGCTCTACAAATTAGTAAGGGAAAACTGTACTGGTTCTTCCTCCTTCTAGCTCTTCAGCTGTAATTACTACTAACTCTGCTTGCAATTCCCACAGACATGCAAATGTTATTTTAAAGCTGATAATTTTAAAAAAAAGCTGACCTTGATTGTTAGAGGACATAAACATGAGAGCACAACTAAGTTTTAATATACCTGGGGACTAAGTGCATAAATTTTTTAATTTAAGATAAAGCATCCCCAGCCTGAGAAAATGTTAAATTGCCTTTTTTGCCGTGGGCACAATCTGCTCTGTGAAATGATGTGAAGGGGCTCCCTCGCGGCCCAAGGCAGGGAAATACAAACAGCTGCCAATCCCAGACTCTGCCTTCCGCCGTCCCTTTCTGCGGACGCGTGTGCAATGTTTAAAGCTGCCAACAAGATAATATTTTAACACCATCTATTATTTTTAAGAGCAGGATTTGGCCCTTTACAGCCATTTTAATGTTCATACAAGGCATAGAAACCAGGGTCAGACAGCGGAAAGTTTGTTTCAATAATGCAGAAGGTTAAGAGAGAAAGCAGATAAGCTTGTCTCCCAGATGACTCCAAGAAAGCTGTCTTAGTTCTAGTTTATGACAATATGTATGTCTTTACTACCATTTTTTAAAAACAGACTTAAATAGAAGCAGATTCTTCTTTATCAAAGGTTTTTGCATTCTACCATCGTTTAGAGAGGTCATGAAATAAAAGGMTGACATACAGCCTCAGACAGAATATTTTAAAGAAATGGTCATAACCAAAAGAAACTAAATTAGAAATTCATGGGAAAAAAAATCAGTATGTTGAAATCCAGAATGAAGATGTGTTGACAGCTGAAACACTGGTTAGCTCATGTCTAAGAAAGGGGATAAAAGTATCAGAACTCTTTTTTTAGTAAAACATAAAATTCTGTTCTAATCTTGGTGATGCATTACAACAAATCAACTAACGACTCAATCTTACATAACAATCTACATTTTTTTTAAAGTGTCACTCAGTTCTAGTAATTATAGCCTAGCAAATTCAGCTGTATGAGACCAAACAATTTATACATCTYAGTTTTATTCTATAAAAGTGTTCCTGGTATGAATTTACAAAGAAAAAGAAGAATAAGAAAACATGGGCTACGTCAACATGAAAACGGAACAAAAACAAATCTCCCAGTCCAGAAAATAAATAAAAAAAAAAATTGAGAAGCTTACACACACCCACACTTATACATGAGTCCTCACAGCAGCCCAGTAGTAAAAGACTTGGTGAGATAGCAAGATGCTCTGCTAGTGAAGACAGTCTCTTAAGAACACTCAAATCAGGGAAATTTCAGCCCCAAAGAGGGAAGACAGTCAAGCATGTATGTACAGCTTGGTGTGTTGGTCCATCAAAGTCTGAGCAAGCAGTGGAATGAGGGCTTTCAGTAACAAAAAGACTGCTTAATAGCAAGACACAGATAGGCTGTGGATTAAGTGGAAAAAAACAGTAGCTTAGCAGGTACAATTAAAATACTTCAATGTTAACACATGGATTCTCTTCCTAAAATATTTGTTGACCTGGTGAAGGATAGTATGTTTTCCAAAGTATGACAGCAAAGAAAAATTTTATCTGATCCCAGCATTAGTACAAAGTGGTAAGAGAAAGGAAAACGCAAGAGCACATTTGCACAAGACAAAGCCTTCCAAAAAATGAGGGGGATGTAGACACCAGCTGGACCTCTTACAAAGGACAGTGGGTACACAGGCACCACCATATGAGGCACTTACGCCCCTCTGACATCAGTGCTATTTTGGGATCAAAGTCAGCAGTTCAAACAACTGCCACTAGCAATATTACAACAGTTTTAAATAAGGAAGCAGAGTGACAGATACAGGAAAAAGGAAACTGCAGAATGCAAAAGATTGCCCCAATGTTTACAATACTAACMCATATAAGGGTGCAGCTACTCCTGTGTCTGTACAGCTCCTTATGACTCAGGGCACCCTTAGGTTCTACTACTGTAGCAAAYAGAGTGACCAATGACAACCTCATAAGCATCAAGAATCACAAACTAAAAACAAATTATACACCKGTAACTGAGTGCAAACATCTCTGTAGATCCCCACAGTGCAATACCTCCAGCACAGCACCCTATACTCACAACTCAGGAAAGTACTGACACCTGAGARCATGCACACTTCCTCTCACACACAMAAAAAGACTAAATCACAACTTCAATGCACAAGGACTTTCTGAAGATAACTAAARGGAATTGTTAAGTGTTGTTAAGACAGCATACACACATCAAGAAACTAAAACAATTCAAGCACTTGCAAAAAACATTTATTGGGAAAATAAGAAAAATTAAACCCACAGGTCAGCTGATACCTCTCCTTTTTGGAAGGGTGCCCTCTTTCTTCAGGCACAATCCCCTCCTGAGTGCACGCTCCTGTCAGCCTGCTCTCAGCTCAGAAGTCCTGTGACAGTATTATGTAGCTCAATTACAGATCAAGAACCTTGGGATTGAACTTGCATGGTCCTCTGGGCTCTACACTTGTCCCAGCTGTGTAAGGCATTACAGCCAGSAGGCCTCCTAATCCATGGAGTCCATAGCAGTGACTCCGCTGCAGCTGGAACTGAGCTTGCTCAAAACACTGACACACAGCTTTGCAAGCAGTGAATGCACAGTAAATAGTGGGTTTCGAGTAAAAGCTTCAGTCTGTGGCTTCTCATGGATTGACAAAGGGGGGCAGGACTTTCTTTCATGAAGGAAGTGTACAGGACCTCGACTGCTTCAAAGACACTGACACAAAGTGTTTCTATTTAATGCAGAACACAGTCACATTAACATCACCTCATTAATGTGCAAATTAGTTTAAGTTAGGGAGAGGCAAGGCACAATAGAGGGATGTTCTTGGGTTTTTTTTTTGTGGAATCAAAGGGTTCCTATTTGTTACACAGTGACCAACTGCAGCTACAGAAGAACTAAAAGGCAAATCCCAAGGAAGTGAAGGCTGACAAAGAGGCAAACAATTCTCAAAAGCTGCCATACCTTAGCAGAGTCCATCAGTGCCAGAGCACAAATAAAAAACTCTTCATTCTCACTCATGTAATAAAACAAAGAGCCACCAAAAGAGTCTCAACCACCCAAAAGTAAACAGCTAAAATAGACTTTCCAATTAAACTGTTACAGGTATAGCTTTTAAAATACTTTATTACTCTGTAGCATAGTAACAGTGCAAAATCACTCRAAGTTGTAAATTACAAATTATTTCTGCCCCTAACATTTTGACCTAATGTAGCTAAACTACATATACCCACATATTTCTGAACTTCTATACTGCAACTATTCTTTGGAGTTTGTACTCAAAGTGAGGGCAGAAACTGTGTTTTCCTCCAGAAGAACAAATACCTAARGCACACTAACCAAGGGCAGACTGTCTTACCTGTGCTCTCTCTTCATCAAATTCCAGGCAACCCATACCATCCAGTCTCTGTAGATCTATCCAGCCTTTCCAGATTACACAGACACCATTGAGAATCATGGGTGCCTTCAAGTACACCTGGAATAAAAGCAAAACACATGCTATGAATTTGCAAGCTCTTACACATGTGCCTGCACAATGAAAATACTGATGCAGGAAGCTTCTATCAGTATTCTTAGAAGAACATCCAAACCAGCTGGTAACATGAGACTCCATTTAACAGCTTCTACTGCTTCCTTTCCAAGAACTCATTTTAATCAAGTGAGTGCTTTAACTTTTGCCTACTGTACTGGATGGAATAAATTTAAGCTGTGTTCTCATTTTATAAACTGGCGTGCACCAGGATTTAGTTAGAATTCTTMCTGCTTGCAGTTAAACTAAGTGTTTTTCTTGTCAGCTTACCTTCRTCTCACAAAGGAAGTGGCATGCTGCCAAACAGGGAGAATCCTACAGCACATTTAAATAGTTAAATGAGCACAGACCCTCCTGCTCCCAAGAAACACTGTATTTTACTGCAATACATGGGTGATTTCAACCAAGAGCAAGCACTGGTTTCAGTCCTCCTCAAATTTACAAACAACTCAGAGTTCAGTAAAATACATTACATATACACTGTGCTAAAAATAAGGAAGTCTTCCTGTGTCAATTTTAGCATGTGTGAAAAGCTTTTGAAAAGAAGCAACACCAGCTGATGAAAAGCCAACTACAGCACCTATGTGCATGGTGCCTTGTGCTGCAACAAGGAATAATGCATGATCTTAAGGCCCAACATGTACACAACAGTAGATGTTACAGTGATGCCACAAAGGAATTTAAAAAGAAGCAAATGCCACACTGAGTTTGACATGTTATACTTAATGATGTCAGTCTTAAAATAAAAAAGTCACAGCAAAATTACCTGCGTTGTACAGAAAAGGAGAAAAACTTCAGTAGTTATTTCAGCCTACCTGGCAAGTCAAAACCTCTCATGGRACAGAAGTTTGTCTATGCTGAATCACCAGAGAGGCAAACCTGCACACACGCCTGCACCCACTTCAGACTGAAAGATTGCTTAGACATTCCAAATCCAGTGGAGTTTTTTCAACCTCCAAGAGCAGCTCAGGCTCAGCTAGGTAGGGGAACTTTCACACAGTGCCTCCTCTAACAGTTCTAAATTAATCCACTGGCAAATCCTCATCAAGGCCTAATTGATGTTTAGCACTATAACTCATTTCAAAGCACCCCCACTGTGCCTACTTGCTCAGTTCCACACTTACCAGCTAAGGTCACTGAAGCAGAAAAAGAGCTTGAGAAGCAGGGGGCACAGAGGAAAGGAAGCCTCCCTTATGCAAAGGCTGTGCTGGCAGAATTAGGCATCAAACATGAAAGGCAACCCTTTCATGGAAGTGGAAGAAAGGGAACAAATAGCACGAATTGAACTGACAAACAAGTAATGTTATTTGCCAAAGAAAACAAACATTCAATCTCCAAGCCAGATTTTTACRACTTTTCACATTTCGGTATGAAGTGACATACACTAGACCTTTTAATTAGTACAACATGCAGCAGCTCAATAATAAAGAAATAAATGTTTGTTTGAGCGTATCTTCTTCACATCAGCGCTCCTACTGCAGAGTCTCTGCTAAGAGCAAGGCCTGGTTTTGTGTCTGCACTCACAGACCATCTGTGAGAGTCATCACACCTCAGCCTTGTGTGGGGACAGCACACCATGCATGTCTACTGGCCAGCAGCTTCTGYGAGCTGAGGTGTCAGAACCAGCATGAGTAAGCTGTGGACTACCAGGAAACCACCTCCCACAGCCCTCATTTCAAGATTGAGCATTTCAAATATACGAAATACATTGCAGCCCTTCAGCACAGYTTTTACTCATTCATCTCACAAGAAACAAATTAAGGACGCTGCATCAATTTAATAGATGCATTTAATTAATTTAGAAATAAAAGACAGTTAAAATAGGCTACTAGAATGTCATTGTCTTCTAAGGAAAATGAAGAGTAAATCAAGAAGGGAAATAAAAAGGCAGCATAAACTAACCATGGGTCTGTAAAGACAAAACTGCCTGTATTCTAATGCTAGTTATGTTTTGCAGGAGCAAACAAGCACTTGGCTGATCTTCATTTAGGGTTTACCTCTCACTCAACCCTTGCTATCTTCCTGGCCCGCAACAGCAGCCTGGGACATCAGAAGGTACATAGGCCTCCCCAGAAATGACAAAAAACAGCTTTCCAAGTTGTCCAGGGATACTYTTTATTTGTTCCTTTGATAAGGAATATTATGCTGTCCCTAACTCATTTCAGTGGCCATTCAGCTGCCTCGGTCACTGCAGCTGCCAGTTCTTTACATGCAAACTTCCTGTCCCAGTGCAAACAGCAGGTAGCTCATACATAGCTGCTGAGGGCTCAGTTCTTCMAATGCCTCATGCACCACCTGCATAAAGCCTGAGCAGCGCTGGAAATTSTGTGGAAGTCTTCAGAAGTTAAAGGGGAAACAAGCTGACAGAGCTGATGTGATTCCTGATTCCTACAATCTGCCTGGAGCACGCCGGCCAACAGCTGYGCTGCTGACACAGCAGCCTGGGAACCTCTGGCACGCAGCCTGACCTTTCCAGATAAAGYACTCTGCCCTTGCTCCTGAATCAGAGCCCTGGAAGCCTTTCACTGACAGATTCAGCAGGTCTTCAAAACTCTGATAAACAAACATTTTTCTCTTCTGAAAGCATGAATTCCTTCACAAGGTTTTTCAAGTTTTGAAATGATCACATAATTGTTCAAACGTAGTATAATTCATACTGAAACTMCACGAGTTTGTGCAGGAAGTTTTCTCTCATTAAAACACGATAATGCATACTGGTACTTTTTTATTTATTTGAGAGAAAGGAATTTAAACTCCTTTTCCCCCTTTCCTCTTTCATGAAAAATGGAAACCACCTAAGATTATAGCCAAAAACGTTTAACCACACATTTCCTTCTTTTCAGATACAGCTATGTTGGTTCCCTTTTAACTTCTGAACTTAACAGAATCATTAATAAATTACTGCTCTGTCTGTGAGCACATGATCTATTATGGCACCTCGAAATCCAGCAAAGCGGTCTTTTAAAAATTTGAATTGTCTGCTCTGAAATTTGCCTCAAGACAGTCATGGTAGGAGACCAAGGGTAAAAGCTGTATTATTTCTAAAAAGACCCAAAATTCCCCCTCCTTAATATTAYAGAAGTAGATAAAAGCATGTCTTTGTTAGAGCAGCTCTTTCAAGGTTTTATTGCTAACCCCAGATCACCTGCATTTATATAATTTTATAAATCCTCCACACACCTCTGGGTGCTTTTCATAATAATGCCTGGCAGTTAGTGCTGTAAAATTCAAGAGACAGGTGAAAAGCACTACAGAACAGAAGGAAGGAGGACAGGTTGGAAGTCCAACAATTATCAAATTCATATTCAGTGGATAAATTTAATGCTACGTAAAGAAATACCATTATAGGGGCATAGAAAAAGCTAAATTATACAGTAACCTCTTTTCACAWTACAGTCCATCCTATAAACCAAAGGAGGTAGGGCTCTTCTGCCACTGACAGTGGACAGTTGTGTAACTGAATTAAGAATTTTTATACACATGCAGAAGGATGAGAGTAAGTTCTCTCTCATTTTGCACCCTCATTTTCCACACAACGACACCACTAAGCCTTTGTTAGACTATGAGGCCTAGGTAAACTGCCACGTACTGAAATATGCAATTTTTACTAGCCTACACCAGCTGAATTTTTGTTCAGGTGGCTATTACAGAAATAATTTAATCTCAAATGACATCTTCCATTTCAAATCCTGCTACAAAAGGATATTTAAATGAGAACACAGACATATTACTTTTACACTGGAAACAGGCTTTTAGTGTTAGAACAAATATTCTACTTGCTGACTGAACAAGCGGCAAGAGTAAACATTCTTATCTCCTGGCACRTTATCTGGACAGAGGACAAACAGCACCATAAATACACATAAAATTGAGAAGGGGCTGGATGAATAGGCTTAGTTGGGCTCTGAGTTGTTGGGCTCTGTTTGTGCATCCTCAGCTGGCTTGTTCTCAAAGACCTCCGTGCCACACCTTTAATATATAGTATCTCACCTTCCCTTTTGTGCTCTTTCAACTAATCTGTTATTTCTTTTCATCTGCATTTAAATGAGCAACCCTCTTCTCCAATTCCAACTAACTAAGTTATCTTTGCTGTTAAAAAGAGGCAGGGACATGGCGCCTGTAACATCATTCATTCCTGTTTTAAAAACCAAACTATTTAAACAGAGGACAATTCTCAATGACTTTAAAAAAACTTAATTTATTTGAGCACAAGATAAAAAACCTCTGTTTCACATCCTATTTTAGTCATCTAGTAAACCCTTATCTCACGACAGCAGGGTATTTAACTGATCTGCTCGAGGTATGCTATCTGTATGCTCCATCCACACATCCTGCAGTTACAGAAAATGCTCCTTTCTCCCTACAGCAACCAAGCCATTTCCTCCCCCAGAGATTGCACACAGTTCTCACCACCCACCGACTAATGAATCAGCAGGCTCACAACAGCCAGCGCCACCGAGGAGACCAACTTCACCCCCCCAGGAAACACCAGTCCCCAGTGAAGTGGTGCAGTCCCCCCCCTTCTGTTTTCATTTTCCCAGCACACTGGAGCAAAACGCATTCTTTCAGAAGAGGCTCAGTTCTGAGTCACCCTGTGCCTCATCACGCACACATCTGCCCATTCATAACCGCTCACACGGGCTGCCCCTCTTGGCTGAGCCACGTCCATCCATCCATTCCCGTTCTGGTCCCACTTTCCCCTGAATCATACTCYGCTTTTAAATACTTAAGGAGCAGTCTCCCTGGTGATTTCATATGTGAAACACTGACCACTAAGAAAGAAAGAAAGGCGTTAAATCAGCTAAAGCTAACCTCACCATTTCAGCTTCTCTTAATGTGATCTGTACACACCAGCAAATAAGACTACTTCTACAAAATGTTCAAATGAGAAATTATGTATTCAACTGTTTCCTTTAAAAGAAAAACACATGATTATATATACAGTT